TGAGTGGGACAAAGCCCAGAGCAATCTGCAATAAGGTTCTGAAACAAAATATAGTACAAACAAATTTTTCGAAGATGATTTGGACTGCAAAAAACTTCAGGGAAATTGAGAATCACCAGTGCCTTTCAGCTTTCCTTTGCATGAGCTGGGTTATAATTTTCAATGGCATCCTTTAGTTTCTGAAGCTGCATTATATTTTCCAGAGTAAGTTCTTTCAAAGGAAAATTGATTGAAAGGTAAGAACATGAGTAACAGCACATATGCTTAGACTGTAATGAAAATCTTCTTCCCCAGAACTAAACAGAAATATTTAGATCACCACATTATCAGTTAAGAAATTTCATTTACCAAAGATATCCTAGTAATGGAGTTCCAACTAATAGTGACGAGATTAACAATCGGATAGTGTCAATCAGTACAATGCTACGCAGGTTAACTAGAAACAAGTTATTCCCAAGTATACTAAACAGGAAGCACCACCACAATAAAAAACACACTGATGCACTTCATGGTCCTACCTTTGCGAGAGAGCAAGAAAAGGAATCCAGCAGACCGTCAGCTCCTCTATAGAAGTGGAAATATGGAAGGACTTTTACATTTAAGCTTTTGCACAAAGACTTGTTCTCATCAAAGTTCACCTTAATGAAAAGAATCTCTGGGTGTTTTTCCGCAATCATGCAGACCTGGCCATTGAAAAGTGTAAAAACAAACAAATTATCTATTAGGATATCTTGGACAGCACAATCTCGTTTGGCATTTGCTAGGAGGTGTGTAAAACTGGTAAATCATTGATGGGTAAACCAAAATTTTAAAAGGAAAAAGAAAATATAAAACTGTAATAACAGTGAAACATAAGCATGGTGATTCAAACAGACAAACCAAACGACAAAAGAAATTACTAGAAACTTAATGAGGCCAAACCAGCCTAATGAGTAAATTAAGAACATATTATGATTGTGTAAGTTGAAACTAATCGATAAGGAAATTAACCCAATATCGAGCATTAGAACATAGCAACTCCTGATAGTTATAAGAGAAAGCAAAGTAAAATTCACATACCACACATTCAATAGCAACACAACTATGTGCCTAAATCTCAAGCCAGTTGAGGTTTATAACTAAATGAGTACAATCAGACAAATAATGACTACGTCCTAAATTGAGTGCAGCCCTCTCTTCAACAGTCAGAACATAAAGAAGCTCCACGTCCAGCAATTTTACTTGCAATAACATGAATAGAAACAGATTCTAATAGCTTAAGAGAATACCATGTCCATGTCATGGGACCAACAGATTTTACTTGTAATTACATGGGAACATTCTCCTATTTCTTTTTTTCCATAAGCTCCAAATGATACAAAATGGCGAAGGAGATATAAGATACTTGTGCAAAAACACTTCATCCATATTAAGAAGGCTTCCAAGTGGAGGGGAGTGGGGACTATAAAATTTGAGAATGTCCACAAACAATAAGGCCGCTTGTAAACGAAATTTTTCTAACTGCATTTCTGTTTTCATAATTGATATATCAAAAAAAAAAAATCATAAATGAGATTGATTATGTAATTATGAAGCAATTGTTACCAGAATGTTTCATTCCTCAATTAGACCTATCAGTGGAAGAGCGTAAAACACAGGAGTGCAGAACAAAAGTTGTGAGTATTGTTGTACATCCAAGCAATACGTGCAAGAATAATGCACTCCGTAGTTTAAAAAAGCAATGGTTCATTATTCTGGGAAAGCTTAAATACTCACCTTGGGGAACAATGCACGACAAGAGGCACACCATGTGCCATAGAATTCAACAATCACTAATCTATCTCCTGCTTGACTTAAAGCATCTAAGAATTCTTGAGTTGAATGAATGTCAACCATATTTGAGGCATTCTTTTCCCACCATTTTGGTTGATCAGTTTCAGCAGAAGTAGCATGTACCTGATGTCCAGAAAAAAGAACACTGTTGCTTCACATTGGAAGTAAAAACCAGCAATGTTTCATCTACGCAAAAACGGGTAGCTAAGGGAACAACTAGACCCTAGTGATCTGTTCTAATAAGCTTCACACGGGTCTTTCTTCTTCTTTTTCCAATTTGAAAGGGGAATAGAGCACGATTACAAACTGCAGCTAAAGTCAATTGAGATGATTACCTAGTCTTTAATAAAGCTCCCAAATTCCGCACCTCTATAAACAAATTAACACTCAGCAACTGGTTCTTCGATAATCTAGGTAATTCAATGTTAATTAACTATGAATCCCCCAAATTTCAGTTTAGATCAATGAATTTATCACCATAAGCGAACAAAAATTGAATAGTTCCAAATTGAGAATGCAGAAGGGCTTGCTCAAACACACACAACAACACAAGAAAAGACCAGAAATTACCTTGAAATAAAGCAAAGGCTTGTTGAGGGCATAATCAAAAGGATTGACAACACGAGAATCAAGAACCCTTTTTCCCCATGAGTTCAATTTAGCAGCTTTAAAGGGCAATGAAGAGTATGTGGGGTTTGAAGGAAAGGGGGAAAAGGAAGAAACTTTAAGTGAAAACACAGAGTGGCCCTGCATACTCCGTCTCTCTTTTTTCACATCACAACAAGTACAATAATTTCGAGTTCCCAAATTTCCAGAATAAAAAATAAGAAGATGAACAGAGAGAGTGAAGTAGTTGAAGCTGGAGATTTATGCTTCCATAGCAGGATGCTTGTTGACCAATAATGGCGAGTAATTTTTGCCAAGCGCTTTTGCTCACGGGCTCATTCGACTCCTCCAATCCCAATTCAATAGCAATTTCTATATTTATTATTAATGACATGTATGATGGAGCTAAAATCCAAATAGATTTCTAGTCCGTTTTTATTTACTTTGGTGATGGTTGAATTGATGTGTCGTATTCATGAACATGTGTTATGATGTATGTTATTTACATATAACATAGTATTGATTGATGAGATTCAAGGTCAAATTGACTATAGGCTGGAGTTAAGGTTAGCGTGGAAGTGAGATTTGATACACAAAATATTCCACAAAAGGAAGTTGCAAGTATCTTGAGTCATTAATTCAAAGAAATGGGAAGATTGACTACAATATCAAATTATATTCATATGGGGTGGACAAAATACAATCTCTTCACCGAAGTCTTATATGATAAGAATGTACCATCAAAACTTAAAAGGTACATTTTAAAAAGTGATGGCTAGGCTAATTATGTTTTATGGGGTTAAGTGTGCCCAGTTAAGGATACCAATGTTCAAAATATGATAATTACGAATAATGAGTATGTTGAAATGAATGTTCAAGCTTACTAGAAAAGATAAGATCCGTGCCAAGGTGGCAATAACCTTCAAAATTGACAAGATGAAGAAAGTGAGACAACAATAATTGATTATGTAAAAAGGAGATATGTAGATGCCCCAGTGAAAAGGTGTAAGAGGTTGGCTAATGTGGGTTTAAGGAGAGGTCTAAAACGAAGAAGTATTGCAGAAAGGTGACACATTTTCAGCTTATGGAATACATGACATTAGATAGGAAGGTATGAAGGTCGCAAATTAGGGTAAAAGGTCAGTAGATAATTGAATATTATATTATTTTTCGGTGTGATAGACTTGGGTGATAGTTTAGTGCACAATAGAGTAAGGTTTTGCTATACCGTAGCATCAAGTTTTTTTTTTGAAATTTCATCCAAGATTACCTCAAGCATTTATGTGTCTTTTTAAGCTTGTTCAACATAAGTATTCTTTGTCTAACGGTGTGGATATGTTTCCCCTTTAGTAAATATTTTAATTTGTCTCATTGCATGCCCCTTTCTTCTCCCATTTTTTCTCTCTACTTTCTGGTTTTTCTCCTTTCAGTTACTCGGTCTCTCCTCTTTGGCCCTAATTTCATCTTCACTTCAATTTCTCTTTCTCTGTGCATCCCTTTGTTTTTTTTTTCTCTGTTTGTTTTGTTATATCGATTTAGATTTGCTTAAATTGCACTTCTGAAATTCATATAATAATTGGTTATATGCAATATTGGTCTTCAAAGAAGTTGCATGTGTGTATTTTGGTGATAATGCTTAAAGTAAGATCAAATTCATTTGATTGGTCATAGAGAGAGTTTTGCCTTGTGCCTCTTATTCTGATTATTGATTTTTCTCATTTGTGCTGCTATGTCCATCCATTGTATTAGCTTCGAAATTATGTTCTGTGTCGATTCAGAATAGGAAAATGAGGAGATTTCCAGAGTTCTACTAAGTACTTTTTTTCCCCCCATATATTCTGTGTAAAGGGGGAGGGGTTACCGTGAACATTGTGAGTATCTGGAAAAAAAAATTGTTTTCAAAGTGAAATTATATTTGAAAATTAGAGTTGTGTTTCAAACTCCTGAAGTTGAATTAGTGTTTCATACCCAACAGGCTGTGAAAAAAAATGTAATTTTTTGTTTTCCGATATTTACCACTCCCAATAAAGGTGGTGACTCTGTACACAAGGCATCTAGTTAAGAATAAAAAAATACTTATCACTCCACCACGACCCTTTGGCAGTAGGTAAAAGGTATTGTTTAGCTGCTTTAGTGTGGTATAAGCAAGAGGCAATGACAGCTCTGAATTTAGACGTTCCCTACCGTGTCAGGGCTAACGTCCGTGACCAGCACGGGCACCCACTATCTAGTATTACTATTACCCATAAAGGTAAAGGATCCTCTTCTGATGAACTTCAAAGAAATGTTAGTTTACGCTTATCTAACTAACATTGAGATTCCAAACTCCATCCATTTAATTCCCAGTAGAAAGAAATTAATGAAAAATAAGCAACAAGCTGTCCAGTACAAGACAAATAAAATTATGGCAAATGTGAACCTAGTATGCTGATGCAAACATTTTCAGCATTGTGAAGATCTGGTTATGCAACCTTACGGTCCCGATATTTCCATATCATGTATGTGCCATGTTGGTCCTGGTAAATTTTGTGATCTTACTATCAATCCAACAAGCTGTTTTTTGGATCCCCTCAATGTTAGAGTCCCGCTTTTGCATGCACAACATTGTGTTACTGCTCATAAACACAACCTCTGGGAGCATAAATATGTTTAAAAACATGTCAGTCCATTTGAAATTTTTGTTATGCGACTCACATATGTTGATTTAGTTATCCAGGATGCCGGGATGTGAGCTGATTCACAGTCAAAAGCTCCTCCCAATTATAAGAACGCCCTTCAACTCAGCCCTAAGTGGGAATGTCAATTAAATTGCTTTTGCTGACCATTCAATCTCATTCAGAAATACCCCAATTCAGATTGGCTTACATCAGATCGTCATGAGTTCCTAGACCCCTCTTTATCATAGGCATTGCTTAAATCAGACGTCATGAGCTCCCACAGCCTTTCTGCCATCGTCTACACTTGTCCCCTTGCCATCAAGTTGGGTAACTCGATCCTTGAGTGTTTCCTTAACAACAGCCGCCCACAAATGTCATACCATTGCATAAAGACAGCAAGATAAAAGTAAAGGTAAATTGAACAAAGCTTCCAGCTTTCATCTGCAAAAAAGGAAAGAAGGAACTATGATGAGAACACTGTTTGCAAGAAAATTTAAGAATCATAAATGATTATAATAAACAAGAGATTTGTGGAGAATAATGCAACTACATACATCATGGTGAGTTTGAGAACCACATAACAAGACAAAGGAATGTGAATAGGGAAATCTACCAACCATCAGATAGAACCACAAGATACGCTGATCCTTTTTTTCTTTTGGACAGAAGACAGAGGTTAATGATGATGTCTTGCATCAAATTGATGCAAAGTGGGTGAAATGGATGATTACATGTAAAGTATGTGAGATAAAAATGTGAAGTCAAAGCTTAAGGGTAAGTTCTACGGAATGGAGCGAAGTGTTGGTCAGTCAAAAACATCCATGTTCCAAAGATGATGATGCTCAAATGGGTGTGTGGGCATGCTAACACAGGAAAAAACCTATACATATACAGAACAATTTGGTATGACCGTTAAGGCAGTGTGTATTGATGCGCTAGTAGGAGGTGTGAGAGGTTGGTTGTAGTAGGAGTTAGGAGAGGTAAAGGTCGAGGTAGGGTGAAAAAGAACTGAGGGGGAGATGATTACACAAGGTAGGACACAACTTCAATTTACCGAGGACATGACCCTAGATAGGATAATTTGAAGGTTTGGGATTATGGTAGAAGATTGGTAGGTAGTTTGAGTGTTATCGCCTTTTTGTGTATATCTTATCCTCCTCAAACCCCACTTGCGAGATTATACAAGGTATGTTATTGTCGCAGTAGAGAAGAAAGACTAAATCAATGAGCAATCCAAGTGGAACAATAGTGTCCATTCTGTAGAATTGCTTGCACGATGGTGAGCCAAGATATTCTGGAACTTACAGCACCTAGGTTACTTATCTCAAATGCCAACAGATTCCTCCATTAACCTTAATTTTCTTCCAAATTTGCCCCTGAACTAAAACCCAACTGTCCTCAGTGAGCATTGAACAGTAAAACCTCATAAAATACCTCACGAAAATTGCCAACGAAAAGCAAGCATAGTTCAATTTTTAATGTTAACCTTTACATGTCAGCAACTTCAACGATCAAGCAAAGAACCAAGTTCACTCCACCTTCTGCCGATATGAGTGTGATTCCTTTAAATGTCTTTTACCAACTACAGGTAAAAGGTCACCCATTCAAGCACCCAAAACCAAGTATTACACTCAAAATAAGTTGGCCTCCACATAAATACAAGATTGTCACACTGTAAATAGTTCTAGTACCATTGGCTTCCTCTACTAAAGAGGACAAGTGTTTCAACTACTACATAAAAGACCGCAAGATGAAACTAAGCATAGGACGACCATTGTGTCATCCAATAATAACATGCCAGCAAGGTAGATTTCTAATTGTTACTTCAAACAATAACTATTACGTCTCATCTGTACCATTGTGTCTGTCATCCAAAAAAAAGGTGCCTACTATCAGCAAGGTAGATTCATAATTGTTTCTTCAAAAAATAACTACCACGTCTCAATCCAAACAAGTTAAAAGTGCCCTATATAACTCTTCATTACCCATTTCACTCCCATCTGAACTCTACTTATGTGAGCTTGCTCATATTACCCGTCTAAAGCCTGAAGAGAGGAGGACTACGATAGGCTGACCAAATTATGATGAATCCTCACGAAACTTGCATCTTCAACCACTGTTAAAAATATGTTGTCCTTTCCCAGGACAAGTAAATTAGCAGCTCATACAGTAAATACTTGAATGTCGAAGTGAAATCCTCATATAACAAATTAGAGTTAAGGGTAAAAAAACACATCTAAATTATCATTTTCTCGCGAGTTTCACATTTCAACTATTAGTTGTTTTCCTTTCCTACATTAACTATCATTATCTATGTATTAAAACACACCTCAAAACTGATTAGGCCAACTATCAGTTGTTCCCTATTTTTTTTTTAAAAAAACAGTAACTTTGTGTCACTATCCGTTGTTACCTATTCTTACCTGAACTATCACAATCTACTCAACTAGGTGTATTTTATACATAGATGGTGATAATTTAGGCAGGAAAAGGATAGATAATGATAGTTCAAGTAGGAAAAAAGAACTAATAGTTGAGGTGTTAAACTCGCGAAAAAATTATAGCTCATGTGTTTTTAATTATCATCTCAATAAATCAATGTTGGTTTCACTAAATAATAGTTCATGTTTTTTTTATCAGTTCCTCAATTGATTAACGTTGGTTTCCCATTTGCATCCCAAGAGGAACTTCCTATAAACAGTTCCCTAACAACAAGGGGAAGCGACATTGGAAGAGACAACACAACAAAGGAAGCAAGCACTGCTAACAAAAGGCTAAAAGTTGAAAATCTCAAAATAAACTCCTTTCCACACTGCATTCCCAGTCAATGGAACCCAAAATATATTCTTCCTTTCAATTAATTATGAATTGCAGTGGTCTGATAAAACAAGGATGCGTCTCAACCCCATAATATTTCTATGCAACTAGTAAAATGGAAAGGAATGGATACAGAGCATAATAATAAGAACAATATGGGCCCATTTGGTTTGGGTTGCAAGGTATATAATCTCCACCAAATTCAGCATAAGTTTATACCAAGTTTAGTGGGGGATGAAGGAAATTTAATCTAATGTTTGGTAGATTTTTTTTGTTTCCCACATAAATAAACATACAAATGCGGGAAACTATGTATTATTTATGTGGGATGAAATGAGGAATAGTCGTATTAAGTAATGCATGGATTGAACTGCTAAATGACCAACAAAAAAAGTCAGCAGTATATATCCCTACATAACTAATTCATGCATAACTTGTCCTCAATCCAAACAACTCCTAAAGGTTCAGAAAACCCCAGGATCTATAGGTTAGTGTAACTAAGACCTACACCTAGACTATAACCATCACAATCAGTACCCTAAACATTAGGCTGGTCTCGGCAAGAATTAGTCTTGAAGAAAATAAAGTCTTATTTCATAAGCATACAGAAGAAGAGTGGGAATGGGAGTTATCTACATCTAAATATTCCTGAACATAAACGCAGAGACAGAAAGAAGATAGAGAAGCACATCCAAGTATAATCTCTGGTAGAAAGATAGTACAATTTTAGGGCCCATCGAAACAGAATACTTGCCTATGGAATTTTGATAGGCAGTCATCACTTGCCAATGTAGCTTCCACTGTCTTCACTCAAGATTTCAAGGACCATCTCAATGTATGTGAGCAACTCGGGTTTCCATTGCTGCAGCCAGGATGACTGGCCTTATGAGCATTATAGCACAGCCACCTGTTAAGCGAAAGGTTAAGGAAGAATTACCCAGAAGTTGTCGTGGATGCTGCATTTTCAAATTCGAAAATGGGTTAAATCAGATCAGTGAGGGTATTTCAGTTCTCAACTCCAAGATTATGCCAGCTTCACCACTCTGCCTGTCCCTCAACTTGTAACCATGACTTCATTCCAAAGAACTGACAAGAGTCACAAGACCATGTTGATCTATTTTGAGCTGTGGTGGCAGCCTCCAATAGAACTGATAACTTGATATACCAACCCACAGTAAACACTGAGTAATACTAAACCTGCTATCTCCCCAAGGCACAATCCTTTCTCTCCAGTACTCATAACGATTTGAGTTCATCATTAATCATCAACTTCGTGGTTCTAGTACTCATAACGATTTGAGTTCATCATTAACCATCAACTTTGTGGTTCTAACTCCAATGAAATTGAGATAAGATAGTAACAACAGTTTCATAGCATTGCTATGTTTGCAGCAGACGACTACAAGAGCAGACTGCCATTATTAAGTGTAACATTTATGAGATAAACATGCACTGCTGCTGACTTTCTTCAAAAACATGTAACCTACCAGAGCTGCTTAACAAGAACCTCCCAAAATTTTCAAGAAACAGGAGAGAAATATCATCAATACAATCCTCACAGAGCAATCTACCATAACGGTTGTGGGGGCATCATTCATTTCCACTTTATACTAATTACTCTGGCCTCAAGAAAATATCCTACATGCTTGCAGAATAGTAATAATATGCAGTGCAGAACTTCTTCAAGTGAGTCTAGTGGTGCATATTCTGATGCGGATTATTGCACTGCATCAACTTCTTCTGCCAGTATGAGTGCCAACATACATTGCTCAAGGGAAGTCCAAAAGAATAAAATCGAGAAATCACGGGTTTGTGATGTCCAAAAAGCAAACCACCTCATGGTTAAGCTCCACATCCCAAAATACCGCTAGTAGGCCAAAACATTGGCAACTTCATATTCTCTACACTATCTACTAAGATAACTAAATACACCATCATACTTCTGAATCCATCAGCTAGTTCCTTGCAAAATGCTTCGTGATAATAGAAACTTAAACTGCTCGCTAGAATTATCAAGACAATCAAATGCTCAGAAAGCACAAAATGGACAGGGAATATGTACGCAACGAACTCAAACATTGCTATTTAAACTACAAAGTCATAACATTAGGCATTAATTAAAAAAATCCAGTTCCATCAACTATGGAAGAGCCTTAATTACCCTATACAGTTTAAGATAAAAGGCAGCACACAGTACTTCAGTACCCGAATATTATGGTTCCACATCAGAGACTAGAAAATATAAACACAACTACAAGAATAAAAAAGAGGCCCTTCTTCCTATTGGACAGCAAGCGAACAGAGAACACCTCAGCGACGATTCATTTGAGGTTTCTCAAGTCCTCCCCGTGAAGCTGAAGCAGCACCATACAAAGGACCCTTGTCAGCAGCACCCTGAGAATAATGGATGAATGTCAATGCACCAAGTCGACTCTACCTATGATGTTTGCTATGACCACTAAAATAAACTCCCAATCAAGTGACTGGAAATATTCATACCATATGAACCCCATATCCCTCGCCATAAGGTGCAGGGAAACTTGCATCATGTCTTCCATATCTCATCCCATATGATCCACCTTTAGCAAACAGATAATAAATCGTTAACATAAGCAACCAAAAGAACAAAGCATCCTCTGATTTCTTAAACTGCTTAACCACTCTGGACGTGTAAACTGTATGATCTAATTTTGTCATTGGTGATCAAGAGTGAAACATTTTCAAGTCTACTACTCAAACAGAAGAGGGTTATTAAGGTACAACTCGTAATCATTCTTCTCACTACCTTTAGCTAAAGAAGGTAAGAGGATGGATTTTGAAGAACTTACCAAAAGATCCTATAAAAGGAATGGAGTCCATCATGTAAGGTATATATCTTCTCCTATATCTACATTTTATTTTTGGAGGGGGGTTACTTGGTGGCAGATAGGCCAACTTCTATCATCAAACAAATGAAACTAAAGGGGACTTTTCACTGCAATTCCAGAATGAGATTCTATACCCAAGTCTCAAGACCATTTCGCCTCAAAGTACAAATCTTGCAATCCATTAAATAGAATCAGAAAATCCTGATAAAAAATGGCTGATTTTACTTGGAATCACAACTAAAAGCCTTGTAACCTAACTCTACAACCGGTTAAAAAAGGAACTCCTATCGTAATAGCTCAAGCCTCAAAAAATTTAAAAAGATAATGCTAAAGTGACTCATACATTAAAAACCCATAAAAATCCAAGGCAAAAATTACCACTCAGCAACTCTTCCCACCCACCTGAATGTTTGGGGCCTTTGGATCCGAGAGTCATCACATGTTTTTGTGATTCCCTACTTCTTTGATATACAAAAGCTTGTCGATGGCGGATTTTGCCCCTACTACCAATAAAATTATTCATCTCATGAAAAGCATGTTTGGTCTGCATACACTCTACCCTCCCCAAAACTCACCTATGTGAGTTCACTGTGTAACTTGTAAAAAACATGTTTGGGTTATAGAAGAATAGCTCCCAGATCCTAGGATTGCCAGATTAGGCAATACCTGAATAAGCATGGAGGCTAACCTGGGACAGCAAATTGGGAAGAACACAACAGAGAAATTACAATATCCCAATAAAGCGTATAGACAATACTTATATAAGAGCTATTTAAGAAATTATAAGAAACCTGAAAGGAACCAATATAAGAAAATTACAGCAATGAATTCGCATAGTAACAATAGGATAATGTTAAGTAGATCTTTTGCTAATTCAATCTACATGGTCCTTACTGAACCATTTGAAATATTTTTTTGGACGAGAATAGATCACTCCATCTGATCTCCTCTTCTATTTTCTTTTTCTTTGGGAGTATTAGTTTAGTTAAATTGTACATAGAGGCTAGAGCTACATAATAAGATCAGGTTCCTTATATCATAATAGCATGACGCAGGTAGGCCTATAGCTGCACTATTTTAAGGCATTATGTAATGTCACACATATGCTTTATCGGATTGAAGAAATCTAATCCAGCTGTAAGAAGGAAGTTGTTCAAGAAAACTAGATTGTGCCTTGCAATGGCTGCCGGCTGCAATGAAGGTGGGGGACTCATGGTTGTAACCAATGGAATCTATTGTATTAAATAGAAGTATGTGTAGGAAAAATATAACCAATGGTGGATCTACATGTTGGGTTCACTTGCACTCGTGCTCCATTTTCTAACCACGCGTAATACTATTGCAAATTTTATAAACTTACCTATATTTGACTTGGGGAACCCAGGCTGTAAAGAGTCTATGATGCACTCTAAAAAGCTATGCTGCACTGCAAAAGCAATTGATCGGGGATGTGACATAAAAGAAGGAAAACGGCGGTGCTTTTTCTTCCCTTGATGATATTGTGTCTTGTATCAAATACAGTACAGTACTATATTTTTAGCCCCTTATTCTCCTTCCAATTTCTAAACTTTCTGATTCATTTCTGACCATCCATCACCATTCCTTGCATACTTCCTCTCAATTCATACGATAAGTCAGTAAATAAAGAAGTTTGTGATATATTTCTCTAAATAAAATTATCTCCTAAAAGTGTGGGAATAGTTATTGAGTTTGCTTCCACTAGATTCAAAAGATCTATGTTCTCATAAAAATTATCTCGGGGTTAATTGGACAATGCCCAGAACCACTTTTGAGGTACTAACACGCTGGCAAGGAATTGGGAAGAGAGGATCAAAGGGAGATTGGTGGAAAAATGTACCTGCTTGCATATGGTGGACACTATGGAAAGAAAGGAATGGAAGGTGCTTTGAAGGGAGGACTAGCCCAGACGATCAAGATGAGATGCCTTAGTCTTTTGTTTTTGGTGTAAGCAAGATTTAGTGCGGGAAGTAGATAGTTTAGTGGAGTTTATAGGACAATTGTAAATTTTTGAAATTTTGGTTTTGGATTTGAGAATGATGGCACCCCCTGGGGGTTTGTAAACCCTCCTCATCAATTTCTTGATGAGGTCCTTTTGTGTGAATACAAAGTTACCTATTTCAAAAAAAAAAAAAAAAAACTGAATAGAGAGTAGTGGGGGGTATGTGGTGTTGTGGGACAGCAGAGAGAGTGGATAGTGGCAATCAGATGATAACTTGCAAATTTGTGGGAATCAATTCGTTCCTGGGAGTAGTCTACACAGACTGATAAAAATTGAAAGGAGGAAATCTGCTAGGTATTGGATGCTGTTAGAAGTATATGTGATGGGCCTTCGGAGATATGTGCATATTTTAACATTACTAGATACTCATTTGAGAGAACAAATTGCAACAGAATATCAGGGGAAATGGCTGAATTCTCAGAACTGATTAATGATGTGGTACGGTTTGATCCTCCTTTATTTGGAGGATCTTATGCGTTGAGAAGGGGAGAAAATCATAGGAGTGCATCAAGAATTGACAGGTTTCTCTACTGTAGTGAGAGGAACTATTCTTACAGATCAGTCCATCGTTCCTAAACTTAGTTATGATCATAGCCCATTTGCTTACATGTGGTGAACTGGAGTACAAGAAATCTTACTTTAAGTTTGTGAGCAATGGTGGCTTGTAGTAGAAGGATTCAAGGACAAAGTCAAAGGAAAGAGATGGTGGGGAGCAGCAAGACCTTCATGAATATGGTTGACACTGTAGAGGGGAAGAAATGGGAGGTGTTTCGAATACAGATTTAATTCTATAATTAAAATTAAGATGTAAAGAAGATAATGTAGAGGAGGCTTACGAGTTAGTAGAGATTCTAGGGTCTCCATAATTAGTCTTAGAACAAAATTGTTCAAATATTTTGGAGGTCTCTAGCACGTTCTTAATGCTGACAAATACAGCTTACCAGTCTCAGAGGAAAAAACCGATTGTGCACTATCATGGGAATTAACGCAGCAGACACCCAAAGCCCAAACTTTAATGCTTCTCAAAGTTCCCAACACTAAGTCTTATGGATTGTGGAAAAAATAAACTAATGATTCTATTTAGACTCTGCCATTTCAGTATCAGAAATCCCCAAGACTCTAGCATCAATGGTTACTGATGGATTGGGTCAAATCTGCTCCCAATAGCAATTGGAGAAGCAGAAAAACAGTACCTCCACTAGAAAGGAAGACATGTAATCTTCTCTTCACATGCTTCTAAAATAAAAGGAATAAACTTGTAAGAGCATACCTGCAGCCCATGCTCTACCATCAGAATTAGAAAGCTCAGCTCGTAGCTTCTCAACTTCACGTGCCATAGTAACCAAATTTGTTTCCATTGCCTGTCTCTGATCCATGAGTTCAACTTTTGCCTTCTTTTCGTACTCAATGGCAGACCTAGAAGTCATGAGCAAATTAATACAAGGGTTTCAACTCCTAATGGGCACCGGGCAGGTTTGTGACATAACAGCATTCCATGTTAATCATATCTCCATAAAAAAAGAAAAAAAAATAATAAGAGCAGATACCTAGCGCGCAAAAGCTCTTGATGCAGCCCATCAATCTCACCCCTGAAATGAGGAATCTGTTGGCTATCAGCTTGTAGCTTGGCAAGGTCCTTGGTGAGGGTCTGTACCTGGCCAGTTAGATCCTGCTTCATAATATTAAGCTTCTGAACTTCAACATGGAGCTGTTTAGCCTCATTTTTCAGAGGTTCTGTAGCTCGAAGATCTCCTTCAAGCTTCAAACCTCTTTCGATAAGTTCCCTGGAGCGAATCTCATGCTCCGCTTGCATATCACCTATGGCAAGGTTCATTCGATATACCTCCTCCTTTGCAGCAGCTGATTCCCGTTGAAGAGCTATTCGATCTTCAACTAATCTCCTGTTTTCACCCAGAAGTCTGCGTATCTCAAGATGTTGTATTTCAAGTTCCTCCTCTAACAAGGCAGGATGAGGAGTGGGTCGAGGCATAGGACCCCGGGCAATATGCCCTTCTGCAGGAAAGCCCCGGCGGTTATCAAATGCTTCCCGAGGAATGCGATTTCTTCCTGCCATCTCACACAGTGCTGTAAAAGAGTAACAGCAGCAAAAAGGATTAGACCACAACAATAAGGAACAATCATCTTGGAAACAAGTAATGATACAGCAGTTCAACTAAGTCTTAAACAAAGCAGATGAGTAAGGCAGTTCACTCAAAAAAAAAACTTAGTCTAAACAAAGCAGGTGATGTAAGTTACAAAAACAAATTTGTAGAAGTTAAGGCAAGCAACCAAGGGAAGCTTCGCAGACCTAATATTATTACAATTCTTGATAATGCCAAGAGAAAACAAAAAAAGATTTTGACATAAATTTATAATTCAAGTTCCTTTGTTGAAGGGGGAGAGAGGAATTCCAGGAAATAGTATATAGAGAAAGACAAGTTCTATAAAAAAAAAAAACAAGTCTATCAGACTATCACTGCCTGGTGGCATTCCAGAAAAATCTACTGTATTGAAACTAAGGACCAAAGTTCAGAAAGGCAAAGAAAAGAAAGAGTAGAGTGAGAATAATACTAAGATTGTCAATTAGTTAAGACAGATAAACATGTAGCTTGTAAATACGCAGAAATACATCCAAACCTGTATTCAGACAAAATCTAGTAGAAACTCATTTCATTCAAAAGTAAAACAAAAAGAAATTTTTGAAGATACAAAAGATACTACGGAGAAAAGTCAGGAAATCCATTAAAAAAAGGGTCAATTCTATTGCTACCGCTTAAACAACCATCCGTCTACCTACTCTCTTCATTTCTTTCCTTTCCCGTTTCCTTGAATTCATTCTTGATTGAGGTTTTTGTCATCTTGCTTTCTTTTTTTCACTTTTTCCTAATCAATAAAATTTCTACAGTTTCCACGTGTGTATCATTACAAAGAGTCATCTTCTTTCTCGGAGCAATGCAACAAAGAAAGAAGATTCTTCAAGAAGTCTCCACAATAAGATTGCTTAATACTTAAGCAGACTTGTGATATTTAAAAGATTGCCAAATCGAAAAGATTGACCTAACGAAACTAGAGGAAGCTGGATGTGATCGGACATAAAAGATGCACATCTGAATGTTGATCAACTTAAAAATAGTGGCAACTGCAAAAACGCAGTTTACTGATCCAAAAAAAAAGAATTCATTTAATTGGCAGGGTCAGATACTGCACAAGAAAACTACCACTAGACAACGTTACTTGACTATTCGATGCCTGCTTAACTAGAATTATAAGACAATCACATCCGTTGGTGGTCCAGTGGTTTGTGCTTGAGACTTCCATGTTGGAGGTCTCAAGTTCGAAACCCATTGCCAGCAAAAGCAAAGGGTTTGCCTTTTGGGTCGAGCTAACCTGGTGCGGATTACCTCTCCGGTGTTGTTTGCGAGCTATTGCATAGAAGCGAGGTTTTACCCTGTCCGCACCCAAAGAGTGGCAGCTGCAAGTTTGTTTATATATATATATATATATAATCACCTCTTTTGTTTTCCTCTTCTTTCTTATTTCAATTCTATTGACATCCGTCTACCTACTCTCTTCATTTCTTTCCTTTCCCGTCTCCTTGAATTCATTCTTGATTGAGGTTTTTGTCGTCTTGCTTTCTTTTTTTCACTTTTACCTAATTAATAAAAATTCTACAATTTCCACGTGTGTATCTTTACAAAGAGTCATCTTCTTTCTCGGAGCAATGCAACAAAGAAAGAAGATTCTTCAAGAAGTCTCCACAATAAGATCGCTTAATACTTGAGCAAACTTGTGAAATTTCAAAGATTGCCAAGTCGAAAAGATTGAATCAAAGATGTGACCGGATTTCATACCTAACGAAACTAGAGGAAGCTGGATGTGATCGGACATAAAAGATGCACATCTGAATGTTGATCAACTTAAAAAATAATGACAACTGCAAAACGCAGTTTACTGATCCATAAAAAGAATTCATTTTATTGGCAGACTCAGATACTGCACAAGAAAACTACCACTAGACAACGTTACTTAACTATTTGATGCCTGCTTAGATGTGAGCTAAACCTTAAATAGAATTATAAGACAATCACCTCCGTTACCATTCGGGGTGGCCTAGTGGTTTGGGCTTGAGACTTCCATGTTGGACGTCTCACATTCGAAATCCCTTGCCAGCGAAAGCAAGGGGTTTGCCTTCTGGGTCGAGCTAGGGTGTGGGTTACCACTCCCGTGTGGTTTGCGAGCTATTGCATAGGAGTGGGGTTTTTCCGTTTACCTACTCTCTTTATTTCTTTCCTTTCCCGTCTCCTTATATTCTTTCTTGATTAAGGTTTTTGTTATCTTGCTTTCTTTCTTCACTTTTACTGGATTGCCTTTTTTCTCTACTAATCAGTAATCAGTAAGTCCCTAAGAAATCTCTTTTTTCTCTACTAATCAATAATCAATAAGTCCCTGAGAAATTTCTACAATTTACACGTGTGGATCTTTACAAAGAGTCATCTTCTATCTAGGAGCAATGCAACAAAGAAATAATATTCTTCAAGAAGTCTCCGCAATAAGATCGCTTAATACCTAAGCAGACTTGTGATATTTCGAAGATAGCCAAATCGAAAAGATGTGATCGGATTTCGTACCTTATGGAACTAGAGAAAGCTGGATGTGATCGGACAAGTCGCCGTAGAGGTGCCTCCGGCTCCGCCGCTGTGCAGAATTGTTTGTGCAGAAATATTTTAGGGTATTTTAGCGATGAAAGTGCAAGTGAAAGTAAAAGTAAATTATACATTCCATGAAAGTTTATCACGGTTAGCTCATGGACCTTTTGGGGATTGGGCCTACCATAAATTTTAGGAATCACACTTTTAATATGAAATTACAATTTATTTCTATCTACAATTTATTTCTATTTAGTTTGTAATTACATTAATTCTTGAAAATTTAAAATAAACCAAATACATAGTATGTAGCTCAAATATATTATAAAATAAACCGGATACATAATATATAACTCGGATACATTAAAAACTAGCTCGGATACATCATATACATATATATAAGAGAATCTTAGGCCCGCCTACGTGGCACCACCACAAACCATAATTATCTTCTTTTTTTTTTTTGATAACCGAGAAATCCGTCTATGACCCGCCCTTTGGACCAATCACAGTCTTCTAAACTCGATGGATAATGGGCCCGCCCCTCTACCCTTCACCACTTAAATACCGGTTTTCGCTTTGCATGGTGTGGGGTTTGAACCTGCGACCTAAGCCACAAATCCTCCACCTTTTGCCACTTGAGCTAGGCCTTGGGGGCCAAACCATAATTCTCTTTTAATTTATTTATTTACAAACTACCATTCCCCTTTCATGAGAAGTTATGAAATTTATGAAAAGTTGTGACTTTTATGAAAAGTTGTGACTTTTATGAAAAGTTGCGACTTTAATTAATAGTTGCGATTTTTATGAAAAGTTGTGACTTTTATGAAAGGTCGTGACCTTTCCGAAGGGTTACAACTTTTCCAAATAGTTGTAACATTTCCGATAAGACACAATAAACATTTGTTCACACTACCATTATTGTCTATAAATAGAGGGATTTTCTCTCATTTTAAAATAATGAAAATTATGAACCTCCTCTTCCTCCTCCTCCTCCTCCTCCTTCTTCACAATAAATATTTGTGTACTTTGCTCATGTTGAGTGGCTCACTGACACCAATGCTTATGTTGTAGATTTTGGTATGTATATTTACAGTCATAAATTTATGTTTATGTTATTAAGGATAAATGATAAGATGTAATAATTTTTATTTCTTTAAATTATTAATGACAGATAGGTTTTAAGTATTACTTTATAAATCCATGCTATTAAATTCCCGCGCAAAGCGCGGGTAATTTTATTAGTTATAAAATAATTTAGAATTAGGAGAGAAATAAGGGATTTTAGAGGTTTTTAGAAATAGAAGGGAATATTAGAAATATGGGAAACATAAGACGTGTATTTTAGTAATTTTTCCAAGATATTTATGTTAGCGTCCTACGGGCTCAAGTTAATATTCTCTGTATTGTTTTTATTTTTATCGATCATACTCAGAGAGATAATGCACGAAAAATAACCTTATTTAGTCAGAAAGACTAGCATAATTTCTTTAAGGTAAAAGAGAATAACCCAAAAAAGAAAAAAGATTACACGGAATAAACATATGCAGCTTTATGCTTCAAAGTGTGAGAAAACCTTTTCTATCAGTGACCGATTTACGAAACAAGGAGTTAAGTAAGGGCCAGGAGATTGATAAAAGAACCTGACCGAAGTCAGTTCATTTATTTGAGAATTCTCAACTAGTTTGACTCATACTTAATTCAGCAAAGTGATTCACCAAAAAAGATAATTTTCCAATTTAAATTTTACAATCCATTATTATCAAAGAACATTAAAGAGTCAACCCCTAAATTCCCAAACAATTATTACCAAGAAAAGGTAATTGCTCCCCACCCCCAAATATCAAGATTATCAAGTTTACACAGCGCTGCAAATTTGATAGAGCAAGGGTTTGGATTCAATGATGATTTATACGTGCAAAATAAAAATTGGCTCGACAATATCAAATGGATCAGTATCAAACTAAAATGAGATAAGTGGTTAAAACACACCTAAAATATACCTTTTTTTTTAGTTTCATACCTGAACTATTGAAAGTGTGAGAAACACACCTAAACTATTACACTTTAGTTTGAAAAACACACCTCTGTGCTGACTGGACCAAATGTGTGTGTACACACTCTTTTACGCGCATGTGGCCTTGATTTTCGTCCACATGGCTTCTTCTTTTTTTTAAAATAAAATATCAAAACACACCTAAACTATAAAATTGTTTGACTTCCTCACCTAAACTATTAGGAGAGTAAGAAACACACCTAAACTATCATTCATAAATTTGAGAAACACACCTTAAATTATATGTTACACTAGTTGCTTAAACTCGCTCAAAAGGGACTGATATTTGTATATCAATGATGCCATACAAGGAATCCACGACGCCCTTTGGTAGCTTTAATAATTTGAGGGGTGAGTGTTTGTCCATGACATCAGATTCTATTTTTTTGTTTGTTTAATAATTAGTTAGACTATATTTGTGGTATCATTATGCCACCAAATAGAGCATATTTTCTTTCTATTGAATTGTCGCTTTTTACAGACTACTTCATCAATCATTTTCTGATTACGACTATTTAAACAACTATGAGCAGCTAAGGATAGAAGTCACCAAAGCATTTTTAGTAGCTCGAAGTAGAAAATTGGTTGGCTCTAGTTTGTATAGTATAGAAACACTAAAACCAAGTAATGCATGCTTAAATTTGCACAGCAACCTACAACTATATTAAACTACTTGGGCTGCAAATTAGTAACTGTGTTTAGTAACATCAAAATACACAACCAAAATTTGATACCATCCTATTCACAACCCAAATTCAATACCATTATATTCATAACCAAAATACACGACTTAAGAACAGTTCGAACCACATGAAAAATCAGTCACCATGTTTAGTAGATTACAATAACTACTTGGGCTGCAAATTAGTCACCGTGTTTAGTAACATTAAAATTCATAACTAAAAGTCGACATCGTCCTATTCACAACCAAAATACGTGACTTAAAAATAGTTCGAGCCACATGAAAAATCAGCCACATCATCCCTAAACACCTTTAGTTCTTGTTGCACCTTGTGATGAAGTTTGTGACTTGATGTTCTTCTGTCTAAGCAAAGCACTTTTATGTTGAAGTTGTCTTCCTGTGATAGCACTTTTCCCCTTCCATTTAAGACATTTACTTGGTGCATACCTAAGGTCACCGGTGACAATAGCTGAACTTATCAGTTTCTCTTGTGCTCCACTCTTGATTACCCTACTAATAGATCTTCCTTGCTGTAAAGTAATAAAGAGTCGTTAAATTATTTTTAAGAAGTTTAATCAAGAATATAAGCTTATTAACTCTTGTTTTTACCTCGACACAAATAAAACCATCTTTGCTCACAAATACTCCATGACCCACTACTCTTGGCCTCTTAAATGCATTATTTGCACCTTTTCTATTACCACTGTCACTTTGCACTATTGCTTGAGATGGTTCAGAAGATTGAGATTGTTGCACTGCTTGAGTGGGGTGAGATTTCTGCTTGCCACTTCTTTTACTACTGGCAGATGCTTGTGATGTAGCAATACCCTATGCAAAGAATAATTTTGAAAGTGTTAAAGGTATTAATATACTATAAATAAACATTAATAGAAATCAAATGTACCTCTGAAGTGGCTGGAGGTTTGTTTGGACATGTTCTTATATTGTGACCTTTTGACTTACAAGCGGAGCAATTCATGGTTTTTCCCCTCTTTGGAAGCTTTCCAGAACTTGGTACCTCTCCAAGTTCCTTCTTTCTTTTTTTACCAGGCCTTCCTGGCATTTTCCTAACAGGAGGTGGCTCAACTTTTGGATTCAATGTCTCGGGCCACATCTTCATGTTTGTTACTGGTTGTAAAAAATGTTTATAAGCTTTCAGGTAGGTTTCTTTTTTGTACCACTTACAAACCGAGTCAAGGAGATTAGCTTTATCGTGATGTATAGCTGCTATTGCATGTGCACAAGGAATCCCTTTCAATCCCCAACTTCTACAAGTGCAAGTTCCTTGAATTAGGTTAACCACATGTATATATGGACTATCCTTCACTTCATACCCAATATCACCATTCCAACTAATTTCCACCCTCATTGACTTCTTCACATTTGTATTTAGCACCAACATTGCCATTGGAGAAATGTCATGAGTCCAACTATTTACAAATGTTGTCACTTTAGTGAATCTATTCATTACCTTTTTCCTTATTTCTTCAAGCATACTGATGATAGTCTTGTGCCTAGCACCCAACACCCAAGCATTAAAACTTTCAGCCATATTGTTATCCACACTGTCACATTTTGAGGATGTCCTAAACTGTGCTTTGGACCATCTATTAGGATTGAAGTTTACCAAGTCATTAGAAATATCTTTGCCTAATTGTGCTAATTTATCCAAGTTCTTCCTGAGTTCAGCTTCAAATGTTGATCTAGCACAAGCCCAAAACCTCTTTCTTTCCTCAACACCTTTCCAGTTTTTTGACCAGTTTGCAAGTATATGTCTTGCACACATTCTTTGTTCACATTCTGGAAGCAACTCCTGAACAGCTAAATATAATCCCTGAAAAACTTATGTGTTTAAAATCACTCAAAATAATAACTAAAATATATGTTGCTTGGAGTACTCTTCAAAAATGTCAACGAGGGCATGTTGAATTAGCCAAAAGTAGTGTATTTTTTGTTAATTCAATACAAGTGTGGCATCAAAAGTGAAGAGTCCGCACAACTAAGACTAACATCACTTAACAACTAAAGCTAAAAGGGATGAAAATAGTAGCAAAAAAAAAAAAAACAGTAGCTAAACAAGTTGAATAACAAAGTACCACTAGAGTTTCTAATTTTGTGGACAAGATAAAATGTTGTTATGAACTATCAAAAGGTCCTTACAAAATGCTGAAATCAATAGTTAAAAACTACTTATAACACATCAGCTAAAAAACTCATGAAATCAGTAGTTAAAATTGGATGATAAGAGATGAAAACAGAGGTTAAAAAAGAGCTTAAATTAGTAGCTAAAATAACTTAAAACACATTAACTAAAACTTGTAAAATCAGTAGCTAAAAAAGCTGAAAACAGCAGCTAATATTGGCTAAAAAAGCTGAAAATAGCAGCTAATATTGGCTAAAAAAGCTGAAACCAAAGGATAAAAGTCGTACCTTTTGCATATCACTTATGATAGTCAATCCTTCTCCTTCATCATTAATGTCCAAATCAGATTTCAAGATTCTCAAAAACCAAGTCCAAGTTTCTCTACTTTTAGTTCCAACAACAGCCCATGCTATTGGGAACATCTGATTATTCCCATCCTTTGCAATAGCAACAAGTAGCTGGCCTTTAGATATTCCCTTCAAAAAACAACCATCTAACCCAATGCACTTTCTACAACCCTCAATGAATCCTTTTTTCAAAGCTGAAAAACAAATATAAAAGGAATGAAAGAGTTTTTTTCCATCATCACAATTTGTCACTTTCACCACACAAGTGCTTCCTGGATTTGATTCAAGAAGCATATCTCTATAGTCATAGATTCTACTAAACTCAGCAACATGATCACCCATTATCTTTTTCAACACCATTTTTCTGGCCTTCAAACACACGAACTTACCAACATACAATCCCATGTCTGTCCTGACCAAATCTTGTATTTCCCATCCCTTTATGCAAGGTTGAGAAACAATTCTACTTTTATAGTACTTAGCCAAAAACTTAGAGTTGGACATTGTGTTGGTATTGGTCCTATAACACTTATGTCTAGGATTGTAGGTTTTTATAATGAAATCGGAAGATTTGAAATCTTTGCTTGCATAAAGTATCCAAGGACAGCCATTAGCTTTGTATTTTACTCTGACCCTTCTTTGATCATTGTGGATCTTATCCAGTTGACAACCTCTCTCAATTGCATACTTGCTCAAAGCTTCTCTAAATTTTTTTACATTTTCAAATACCATATTAAGTTGCCACACAACTTTTTTCCATGTTGGATCATAAGAGACCCTCTTGTTCTTCTTTCTTGCCCTTAAAATATCAGATCTTTCAATATCTATTTCCCCCTCACTTTCACTTTCAAAACTATCGGCATCAGAACTGTCATAAAAAGGCTCATCACCTACTAGCTTACCAGTTAAATTTTTCTTAGGTTTATCAATGTCTTCAAAACCAGGATCTATGCCAACTTCTCCCAAAAAACACTCAGCAATTTATTTTTTCCTTGGCTTTTTTTTTTTCTTCAAATATGCTTTCAAATCCTTCTTAACTATGCTTAGCTCTTCATGAATATCACTCCCATAACCATCCTCCTCACTAGAAAAGTCAACATTCTCATCACTTTCAGCATCACTATGCACAATAGTTTCTACTTCATCTTCCTCCAAATCTTCATCTTCACTAGAAAACTTCAATTCATCTTCAGCTTCATTTGTGTTTCTGCTGCCATTTTCTATTAGATTTGATTGTTGGACCCCGACAATTTGATTTCTACCATCAATAAGTGTTATTTCTTTACCTAAAGGTGCATTGAGACCTTCACCAACTTTGTTGGTAGATTCTTTATTAGGTCTATCCACTTCATTGCATGTGGTCTCAAAAGACTCATTGGTCACATGTGTTGTTTTGATAAAAACTTCCCCTTTATGGCAGATAGAAATGTCCATAGTACCCCCAACAACCAACAAATTGGCTAAGACCAATAAATCCCTATCTTTAACCAATTCTACCAAATTGCCAACTTGAGCAGCTCCAATATATATTTTTTCTATATTGGTAACCCCAAAATCCCTGCAATAGTCATTCACTTCCGGAATAGACAAATGGTCTATATCAACATTGAAGGCATATTCTTTTTTCCCCCCAATATAAACAGGTCCTACCTCACTCACAAGTATACCACCGATGTGAAACCTCAAATTTACGTACTTAGTGTCCTTACCTTAGAACAATTGAAATATGCAAAGTTTAATAAGCCAACTATTGTTCATGAAATCAGTAGCTAAAAATCGCCACCAGTACGAAAATTAAGTTCAGGAGTAAAAGAAAGAGTACCTTATGTAGTCAATTTCTTCTCCTTTCAACTCTTTTCAGATGGTATGGATCAAAACCTAAAAAATTATACAAATCGTTACTATTTTGAGACAAAAATAAGAACCCTAACATTTTTTGACAAATGAGTAACTAACCTTGAAACCATGATGAATTTGTGAATTAATAGTGAAAACCCTAAATTTACTCAAATTTTCACACACCAAAGAGACTCAACTGAGAACAGAGAAAGATGCTTCTACATGTTGAAAGTTAAACTTTAATCTTTTGACATGGTGGAATTTGTTTCCATGTGGCAATCTATGTGGCATTTAAAAAATAATAATTGAGAGAGTGTAATACACACACTATCATATTTTACTTGAGGTGTGTTTTTCAAAATAAAATGTAATAGTTTAGGTGTGTTTCTCAGACTTTCGATAGTTCGGGTATGAAACTCAAAAAAAAGGTATAGTTTAGGTGTGTTTTAACCACTTATCTCAACTAAAATATTTAGTTCAAGTTTCACAATCCATTACCATCAAAACACTAATAACTAAAAAGAAAACTCAAAATAAACCATTACCAATTAAAGTTCATTTGACCCGTATTTGAAAAACCCAGAAGGAAGGAAGGTGTTTAGATAAGGTAAAGAAGCTGAGAAATATAAGGTTTGAGTTCAAAATTATGTCAATGATGATGACAAATGGTATGAAATTGTATTGGATAATAACTTTGATTTAATTTGTTATCCATCTTCCCTACTCCTTCACGAACTTTCTAACCATCGTTGCTACTCCGTCGATCTTATTTGTCACAATAGTTTGTTTTGTATGTTTTATAATCAGAAGAAAATATTGAAAATGGAGTCATTCAGGTAAGGAGGAAGAGAGAAACAAAGACAAAAATGGTGTCATTCAGGTAAGAAAAAAGAGAGAAGATAGAGGTAAAAATGGTTGGGAAAAAAGTGAAAAAAAGAAGATAGAGGCAAAATTGGTTGGGAAAAAGGTGAAAAAAATTAAAAATATTACACGTGTATGCTTGCATAGATCTGGTAGGCGCGTGCACATAACTCTAGTATGTGTGACTGGTTTTGTACGTTAGAAGGTGTTATTAGTTATATTTTTAACCAGAATAAGTGTGTAATAGGTCGTCACGATAGTTTAAGTGCGTAACTGACTTTTCGAAATAAGTTCAGGGGTGAATTTATGTTTTTTCCTTATAAAATATATCATGTGGGTATCACAGGGAATTTAGAGCTTTTTTTGTTTTTGTTTCTAATGAATGAGATAATCTATATGATATCATGCTAGTATATGATATACACTATGGGTATCATTAATTACTAAGTTATTCCTGGAAGAAATGAAACAATTCATTGTAATATATTGTTAATATATGATACATCCTATGGGTCAGTTATATATTGATACCTATCAGTACATGATGTATATCATACGAGTATCATGAAAAATTGAGTTTCATTTTTTTTAGAATGAATCAACCATCATGATATTACTATATAATGAGTATTAGGAGATATCATAAAGGACTGATAGTGTTTTCCTTGAAAGAATGAATCAGTCCTCTATGATACCTAGTCAGTATTTCAAAATCATATTTTTTTTCTAATCTCTTTCATTTGTATTGTTTCGTCTAAAGAACTTATATTCAACAAAGCATAAAATCGACTGTTAAAGGATGAAAAAATCAAATATCAATCAATTAAAATAGCAAAATGATAATTTTATTTAATTGTTTCATATGTATCCAGAGAAGAAATATAATGTCAATATCAAAAAAAAATCATGTGAAATATTCTAAAGATATTTTCTACCATTCTACTCCCCAAAAAGTTGCAAAATAAAATAGAAGCGTCATTTGTATTTTCACAATAATCAAAAGACTTGACGTTCCAGAGTCAATTCATAAGAAGGTTATAGACTGCCACATGTTCATTGATGTCGCCGGCTCATTCATGAAATTCCTCGTGATTTCAAGGACATCTTTCGGCATGGTTGGATAGAGTGCTACTACTTCAATTTTGGCAGGCAAAATTTTATGTATCTGCAAATAAAAGAAATATCAAAACACTATTTTCAATTTCATATTTTTTTTCATTTCAAAAGATTTATTATAAAAGAGATTCTCCAAAATTGGGAACCTTAGACACAAACATGTCCATATCATTAAAAATTTAGAGTAAATTAACTTTAGAAATAAATTACCTGGACATCAAATCCCCTTGAAAGCATCTCATCAGCCTCGTCTAACAAAACCATTCTAATATGTTCAGAATGGAGAGAATTATTTTGGGTACATGACAATTGGTTTCTTTGCTTCATTAAACAAATAGTTTCGAAGAATAAAATAGTTCAAGCGCAAATGAATGATACAACAGTTCAATAAGATAAATTTCATTGAGGGATTTGACAAAAATCATAAGTTGGGCAACAACAATGTAATTTGTCATTCCACGCTAAGAAATTTATTTGTAGGTGAAAACTATAAATCCGTTTGAAAAGTGATTTTTATTAATCCCTTTGTCTGATTTATGTGTCACCCTTTTCATTTTTAATTAACAATCTTTCTTCATCTAATCAACTTGAAAAATAAACATTTTCGATAAAGGAGTAATTTGTGTTTGATTAAGATTCCAAAAGTATTATCAGGGCAAAAACTAACTTTTATAGTTTTTGGAAAACAAAACTTTTAAAATCAAAATGAAAAAATAAAAAAGAAATGAAACATGATAAATAGTAATTTTTTGGACCTTGAATGGAAAAGTTGAATAGCCGCAACGCTTGTGCCTTCAGGTGAATGAATAATAAGTTGATTTGAATTCCATCTCGCCAAACTCGTTTCACAAAAAAGGAAAAATACTACTCCCTCTGTCCCAATTTATATGACTCACTTTCCTTTTTAGTCAGTCACAAAAAAAATGACACATTTCTATATAAAGTAACAATTTAACTATAAAATATCTATTTTACCTTTAATGAAATGATTTACAGTCACACAAATTCTATAATTCATTTTGGACCACAAGTTTTAAAAGTCTTCCTTTCTTTCTTAAACTCTGTGCCGAGTCAAAGTACCTCATATAAAATGGGACTGAGGGAGTAATATTTTAGAAGAACCAACATTGTGAGTGATACTGATTGTAACTTAAGATGCGTTTGTTGAGAAAATGACCAAAATAGTACTTAATATATAGAGTACTTTATTTTGGTCCTTAATATATTTTACATGATCTATATAGTCGTTAGTGTATTATAAAAAAATATTCAATTTGGTTCTTTACCCTAAATATAACAGATCTCACAGTTAAATTTAATGGCGGGCCCACTAAAAAAACCAAAACTTTCCCTTCTCCTTCATTAGTCCCGTGAAAAGCTTGACCCAATTTTCCCCTTCTCCTTCTCCTCCTCCGACCACATCGGTCTAGGCCACCGACTCACCAACGCTCGTCCACCAACCAGCCGCTGCTCTCCACTTTTGTCCCTCCTCCACCACCCTTTTGTTCCCACTGTTTTAGCCCTAATTCAAAGTTAAGATTTCTAAAAAAAAATAAAAATTGTTAAGTTAGAAAATAATTTTATTTTTTTACACTGTTAATATTATTATAAGATTTAATCATATTGTTAGATTTGTTAATGTCCATAGTGAGGGTCAATGGTATATATATGATGGTCACAATATTTTTTTTTAACTGCTCATGTGTTTTAGACAACATTTTTCAGCATTAAAATTTGTCATATGAGGCTAATGAAGTATCAACTGAGCAAATTTTATGTCGGAGGCATTTGTAAAAACCAATTCATAACTTATATAAAATATAAGATGAACTCAATCCTTAAATATTTATCAAAAGCAAAATTCAACTATCTAAATCATAAGTAATATTTTTAAAAGTGGAAGAGGGAAGTTCCTCCTATGGCTGAGGCAAAAACACCCACAAGCTCTTCAAAACAGAGCTTTTGATGGGAGGACTAGAGAATGAAGGAGAAAGGGAAATATTTTGGGTGGTTTTATTTTTCAGTGGGGCCCAACGTTAAACTTAACTCATGTCCATGTTATATTTAAGGCAAATGATCAAATTGAGTATTTTTTATGATACATTAAGACTATATAGATCATGTGGAATATATTAAGGATCAAAATAAAGTAATTCATATACATTAAGGACCATTTTGATCATTTTCTCTGCGTTCGTTTGATATATATAGGGAAAAAAAAAGCAGGTAATGAGATTTCTTAAATATTGTGTATTGAATAGGATAAGAATGAAAAAAAAAAAACAGTCAAAGAAGCGGGCAATCAGATTTTTTAAATCTCGCAAAAAATATAAAAATAAATATACAACGGTAACATATTTTCTTAAAGGAAAAAGGGTCAAAAATACCTCTCAACTTTTTTATTAGTTGACTATGCCCTTACCGTTAAAATGAAGTTATTCTTTCCATTGCCATTACTAATTTCATTATGTGTGCCCCTATATTATCGAAAATCCCCAAATCAACTTAAATTAACCCGAATACGCCTAACACTGTATAGATAGGTCAAATTCTAGTTTTTCAGTATATATATTTAGTGTTGACACCTTTTGATACAATTTTACAATTTAGCATAATAGTTAAGAAGTTGCAAAAGTTCCAAAAAAGGTCGTGTGTTCAATTCTAGTTACACAACATATTTATAAATTGTCTTCAACCAATTTTTTTAATAATAATATGGGTAAATATGGATACCCATCTTACCCATCGAGTAACTCAATCATTTTTACCCATTTAAAATATGAATCAAGTTTAGTACTTTATCCATTTTTATTTAACTCATTTTTGATTGACTCATATTCGACTCAACCCACTCATTTGCCACTCCTAACTCTAGACATATAATTCTCACTAAAGCCTTCAAATTTTTTAGGATGATGTCATTACAACATAGTATATAGTCCCATAGATATACTTTTTTTTGCTTTCATATTATGTCCAACAAGGGCGGTGCTATTTTTTCGGAGGGTATCAAGCGATCTTCTTTCATAAAAATAACTACACTACACAAAAGCGTATCTAAAATTTTGAGATGATGGATACATTATTACAAAAATGTTGATCTAAGATATAAATTTGATTGATTCGATATGTAAGTTTTTACTACTGAAAATCGTTAAAATTTTAATATTATAGGTCCAAAATTAATTTATATATATATATAATTAATTAAAATGCCAACAATGCTACCAATTACCACTTAGAGAAGTATTATCTAATTTTAGAAAGACAAATAAAACAAGATAAATATAAAACTCAAATTTCTAACCTCACGTAGAGCGGTGCACCAAGTCATTATCGCATTATGTGATACTCCGAGTGAGGGTTCACACGTCTATATTTCTATATATTTTTTAAAAATATAAATACTACTATATATGATCTCGGGAGAGGAGCATCGGTTCACGTGAACTCGGTGACCCCCCTCCCCCGGATACGCCTCTAACACTGTATAGATAGGTTAAATTCTAATTTTTCAATATATATACTAGTGTTGACACCTTTTGATACAATTTTAAAATTTAGCAGAGTAATTAAGGAGTTGCAAAAGTTCCAAAACAAGGTCGTGTTTTCAATTCTAGTTCACAACATATTTATAAGGATACTGTCTTCAGCCATTCTTTTCATTTTTTTTTCTTTTAAACAACTAAAACAACAACATCCTTATATAATTTTTTTAAAACTACATATGGCCAGCAATATCCCAATTTACCACGGTGTGCTTACTTTATATTTTGACATTCTTCAAATATAAATTATGACTTCATCACTAATATCAAAATATTAAAATATTTAACATTTAGTAATTCTATAGCATATATTGCTCTTTTAATCACGTTTAATTCTCTTTTATTGTGCTCGTACATATTAATAACAATAATATGAAAGTGGAATACAAAAAAATGAAAATATCTAATAAGGTCCCACAGAAAAAATAGTAATATTGAAGTAGAACTAGTACTATAAGTGATACTAACAATAATAGTAGCACTAAATTTTAATAGAATTACAGAAAATATAATTAATTTCAGACACTCATTCTTATGTTTAGCTGCAAAATGATTGCATTTCATGTGGTTATGAAATTACGTGTGCCTTTTTAATTTTTATTTTTTACTAACAATTCAAATTGATTACAATGTAAGAATGAAATGAAGAAGAAAAAATATTTGTGTGATGAGATAGTCTTAAACAAAAAGCATAGAAGAAAATAAAAATGAAAGAAGTGAAGAAATGATTTTAAAAAAGTAAGTGACTAGATATTTTAAATCTCACATAATGATATAAAAATAACGGTGAAATAATTTTAATTTGTAGATCAGTTATTATATTTTAAATTTTGATATATGCTATATTTATAGTTCAAAAAAATATATTTATTCCTTCATGAAAAACGCAACTCAATCTTCAAGAATAGGCCCTTCACACCAGTGTTCGAAAACCAACAGTTTTTTTCTTTCTTTCTAATCTCTTTCGTTTATATTGTTCTTCTAACATATGTATATATGTTATTGTATGAAGCCTAGCTAATGTTCTCTCTTCTTTTAACCCGAACGGGCATTCCTTTCTTCATTCTTACCGTTGGAAAATTGACAATTGAATCCTCCTCAGCCACCCACCTATATGAATATTCAAAAAATAAATTCAAATTTTAATTTGATAATTCAATCTTAAGTAAGTTTTTATCGTTAATTATTCCTAAAAAAATTCATACATACTTGAATTGAGTAGTAAAGTGATGGAGAAAAATTGAAGCTTCCAGCCTAGCAAGGTCCAGCCCAGGGCACAACCTTTGTCCACCTCCAAAGGGGGTGAAGTTACAATTATTTGTATCCTTGCTCTGTACGTATAAAAATAATATAAATCACAATAATTAATATACTAAAATAAATATTTCAAAAAATTAAAATTGTCGTGCTTACTTGCCAGCGCCAAGGATTAAACTGATGAGGAAAGTCATAGAGATTATCATCAAGATGAACTGATCTAAAATAAACAAAAGTACACCATCCTTTTGGAATTAAATATCCTTTTATCTCCACATCTTTTACTGCTTTCCTCATTACTCCTATTATTATGTTTCCCAGCCTTAATGTCTCTGATATCACCTATAAAAAAAGAGAGTAATTAATTACTAATTCAATAATTATGTTTGATAATTAAGTTGAAAAATAATCAAATAATTACGTTTTGTGTAAATGGTAATGATAAATAGTCACTCCACA